AACTGTGAACTAAGCTATTTACATTTGTCATTTCCAAAAGACCATGAGACATCAGGAAAGAAGGTGTGATGGGTTATTTAACTTGACTAATAAAGAGTGAAGCTGGGAATCACTCTCAGGTCTGCCTGACCCCCAAATCAGTTCTCTTTCCACTCATTCTGACAATGTTTCATTTATGTTACAGTTGCTAAGTTATTCCTGATGATATAGACATCCTTCTTCCAACTAGAAAATTCAAGTAAACCACAGGACAACAACATCAATGTACAGTTCTAGGATGCTTTGGATAAGACCTCAGAAGAGATGTGCTGAAACCATCAGGCCTGGGGTCTACTGTTATAACTTCTCTTCTGAATCAAGAAGTTGCATGGATCATATTTGAGGCTCCTTCCAGTAAAGAGAAATGCATAGATGGATTTTAAGTACAAAGAAGATGAATTTCTTTCTACCTTTTAAGCGGGGTCAAATCTTCAGAGTGACCAGTTCCCTAAAAACAGCTGAAACCTGGTAAATGGGGCATGAAAGTCTTAACTCTGAGCCTTGCACCATGAGAAGAGCATTCACTTCTAGGGTCCACCTGCTGGAAGGTACCAAGAAAAGACAGAGAGGATTCCAGTAATATCTCTTTGGAAATTGTCTCTTAATCACGTGTCTTAACTTTGTTCAGCACATCTGAAGAATTTAGAAGCAAGTAAGGATGAGGCAAGTGCTTGTTTTTTTTTCAAGTTATATTAAGATATAATTGACATAAACACTGTATAAGTTTAAAGTGTACAGAATGAGTTGACATACATATATTCCAAAATGATTATTATAGTAGGTTTAGTTAACATCCATCACCTTGTATATTTACATTTTTTTTTCTTGTGATGAGAATTTTTAGGATTTACTCTCTTAGCAGCTTTCAAATACAGCATACAGCACTGTTAACTATAATCATCATGTTGTACTTTACATTTCCAGTACTTATTTATTTGACTGGAAGTCAAAAGGTACAAATTTCCAGTTATAAGGCAAGTACTTTTTATAGGTTTCACTGAAAACATATAATGGCTTAAAGCAAAACAGACCTAGAATTTCAAAGTAATTCCATCGCTACCAGCAGTGGTTTGAGCAAGTTTCTTAAGCTCTCATTCTTGATTTACTCATCCTGTGAAGAATTAAGTTATCTTTAAACTACTGATTAGTAGGCAGCAAAATCTCTTTAATAATACTCCACAATGTTACAATATTCCCAAGGTATCTGTAATTTGTTAAACTATCATCCTGACCTGATATTTGAGGTATGGGGTAGTATAGTTCAATGGAAAAGGACTTCTATGACTAGCATTTTACAAATGTGGACGCCAGAAATGACCAAGTAGGTAAGTTATACTGTTTCCATAGGGAGAAAAAGGGGTAAGGGATAATGTCACACCTCAGGAGAACTCAGAAATAAGGGGAATTAGGTTACTCTCTAAGATTACGTTACAATATCAGAGCAGAGATATGTAAAAATCATTTTAAGGAGTAAGTTTGCTTCTCCCATTTGATAAAAACCTAGTCTTGACTAAGTGTTAGAAAAGCTACAGACAGAATTTGTCAGTCTGAAGGAGGATTGTTGGTCGTCCCTAGAATGATACCTGGGTAATACTCAACCAAAGCACTTTCAAGGGAAGGGCAAATATAGGCGTAGGGATGTTGAATTTTTGTACTTCACTGGTTAAGCTTCTCGGCCTGCTGCCATTGAACATCAAATTATATTGTCAATGAGATGCTAGCTCTCCTCACACTCATCCTTTGATTTTTGTGTTACCACATGCAAGTTTTTACTCCGTCAGCCTGGCTCTGGAAATTAGTTCTGCTTTATACACACACACATACACACACACTCACATTAGTGCCTTGTTTTGTGCCGTGGACATTAGAGTTGACATCCCCATATCCATTCTATTGCAAAGTACTTAGTTGAAACAAGTCAAGGTGATGCCATTCTCATTGTCAGTGACTGGTTCATGTATTAATGTTTTGTTTTGTTGTCTTTTTTTTTGTGTTATAATGTTTTCACATTAAAAAAAAACATTTGGCTAGGAAGAGACAGCTCCTCCCAGGACTAGCTGATTCTCAGAAACAGCAAAGGACTCAGCCTAGAGCATGTCTCTAATATGTAAACTAACCACCCCAGAGCCATACCCTCTCCATCTGGCCCTTGTACCCCACGAGGTAATATACCTGTGCCTTAATCAATCGCAGGGCCAGGTGTCAAGCAACTAGGGACCACCTTTACAGCCTAAAGCCCACTGACATTATTCAAACTAGACAATCCGAAGCTGTTTACTTTACCCTGCCTTGCCTTTCTCTGAGAAACCCCGATAAAGGCTTCTGGCTTAGGCTCTCCTTCAGCTTTCTGACCAAAACTTGAAGTTCGTTGTGAGGCTGGTCCCGCAGAGTGAGTGGGGCCTCATTACTAAGACAGTTCTGAATAACACAAAACTTCTCTTTCAGTGACACTGACATCCCCATGTTGTCATTCAGTCACTTTCATAAATTAGACTCAGGCACAGAACAGTTCGGGAATGAGTGTGTGACCCACTGCTGCCCAATGTGCTGATGGGTGAAATCTCCTGGAGGGGTTGGTGTTAGAGAAGTTTCCTTCCCCATAGAAAAGAAACCCAGAGATGGTCTTTTCTGTCTCTGGATATTAGCCTATCTGGATGTGAAGGCTGGAACCAGGACAGCCATCTAGGGACCAGCTGAGGAGGAGGCCAACACTGAGGATGACAGAGAGCAAGGAGACAGAAGAGACTTGGGCCCTTGATACCATCCCTAATGCACTGATAACCACCCTGCCTGGAACTCGCCCTGCCACTGGAATGCCTGTTACATAAGGTTATAATTTAGTTTGAATCAAGGTTTTCTGTTGTTTAAAGTGAAAAGCATCTTAACACAATAAATGATGTAGATTTTTCTGAGGGAGGTAGCCTCTGGATCACAGGAGAGACAATATGGATTACACTGCCACTTACAAGCTGTGTCATCTTGGATAAAGGATTAATCCTCTCTGTGCTTCAGTTTCCTCATCTGTGAAGTGATAATAATAATTGCACTTACTTCACAGAGTTGCTCTTGCAAGCTTTAAGTAAGGTAATGCACATCAAATGCACCTGAGGAACTCTTAGCTCTTTATTACCGTTATAAAGGTATCCTGGGGACAGAAAACAACTCAGTTATATATTTGTATTCTCTCCTGTTTCCTAGTTTTTACCCTGCTACAATGTCACACCCATGTAGCAAGCCCCTCATCTGGCTCTCAGCTCCTCCCTTTTTAACAATAAGGACAGTCTCTTACATAACTAAGTGCAATTATAAAATTAATTAGTTTCCACAGTAATGCATTAGCTGATATAAGGTCCTTATTCATGTTTTGCCAATTGTCTTAATGCTGTCCTTTGTACCAACTTTATTTTTCCAATCCAAGATCATGCATTGCATTCAGTTATCATGTGTTTTTAGTCACCTTTAATCTGGAAAAGTTTCTCAGCCTTTCTTTGGCTCTAATTCGCCGAGTTGTTTTTTAAGAATATGGACCCTTTATTTTCTAAAATGTCCATAAATTTGTTTTTGTCTGATGCTTTCTTATGATTAGATCCAAGTGATGAATTTTTTGGAAGGAACATGACAGAAGTAATGATATATCCTTCCTAGTGCACTTCACCAGAAGACGTGATATGTCTTATTACTGTTCATGTTAATTTTGATCATTTGATTAAGGTGATGTCTGCTATATATCTCCACCTGAAAGTCAACAGGTGGAGAGATAGTTTGAGACTGAAACAACTTTTCAGCTCCCCAACTTTTATCTAATGGTTTTAGCATCCACTGATGAGTCACATCTGAATTATTTTGAGTTGCAAGATGATTTTCTGAATCTGCTGTTATATATTTCTAACTCTGTATTATTTTGTTTTATACATAAATATAAAATATTTTTATTTATTTATTTTTTAAAATTAAATGTATTAGGGTGGCATTGGTTAATAAAATTATATAGATTTCAAGTATACAATTCAATAATACTTCATATGTCTATTGCATTGTGTGTTCACCATCCAAAGTCAAATCTCCTTCTGTCACCATATATCTGACCCCTTTACCCCTATCTACCTGCCCCCTGCCCACTTTTCCCCTAGTAACCACTAAACTATTGACTTTGTCTTTGAGTTTTCATTTGTCTTGTTTGTTTGTTGCTTTCAGTACTATATCCCACATATGAGTGAAATGATATGGTCCTCAACGTTTTCTGACTTATTTTGTTTAACACCTGCTCTTTAAATGGATTTACCAAAGACCAAAGTAAGCCAGAAGTGGCAAAAATAGAGATAAAACTATTACTAACTAGCAGTTTCTCACATCCTCCTTTTTCATGAATACCTGATGCATTATGTGGGAAACTTTCTGATGTTAAATTGTATTCTTTTAGAATCGTGGGTAATTTTTAACCATTATTGGGGCTTACATATTTTAAAAAGTTGTAAAGTTCTTATTGCTGGGTCATATGGTAATTCTATTAACTTTTTGAGGAACTTCCATACTATTTTCCATAGTGGCTGCACCAATCTGCAGTCCCACCAGCAGTGTATGAGGGTTCCTTTTCCTCCACATCCTCTCTAACACTTATTACTTGTCCTATTGATGACAGCCATTCTAACAGGTGTGAGGTAGCATCTCCCTGTGGTTTTGATTTGCATTTCTCTAATAGCTAGTGAAGTTGAGCATCTTTTCATATGTCTGCTGGCCATTTCCATGTCTTCTTGGGAGAAGTGTCTGTTCAGGTCCTCTGACTATTTTTTAATTGGATTTTTTTGTTGTTGTAGAGTTGTATGAATCATTCCCTAATTATAATTATTCTCTTCTCTGATCTTCCTATTGCACCTAAAGGAGACACCATCACAACATACAGGAAACCTGATTGCACTTATTCATTTACATGACTGTCTTCTCCAGTAAACTGAGGTCGGGAATCAAATATTATCATTTTATTAAAGTCAGCACTTATTAAAGGAAAGGAGACTGGAACGAATAACTGAACAAGTAGATAATTCTGCAGTTGTTTTTTCTCAACCTGTTTGCTGGTACTTTATCTCACTCAACTTATAGAAACACACACACGACCTTGAGAAGGTCATACTAAAACTTTCCAGGGCAGACCCAGCCGCCAAAACTTTTCTCCAAGTACTGGGCCACAGCCAGGGTCAGGTGATCATTAAAGGGTCCAGCCACGACCTGGATACCTAGAGGAAGTCCTTTGGTATTCAGACCCAATGGGCACTGGGTCACAGGCAAACCCAGGGCATTGAAGACACCTGAATGAAACAAACAAGAAAAATGCAAGACGTCAAGACCTGCCCCTGAAAACTTATTTTCTCCCCCCATTTGTACAATGATGATGATAAAAGCTACAGACATATAGTTACGGTTTACTGCCTGCTATGGACTCATCTAGGGATTTGATGTGTATTAAACATCTGAATTATCACAACAAAGCCATGAGATAGAAATTATTAATTATTCCTATTTTATGTAGAAGCTGAAATCAGGGCTACTCCTAATTTTCCCTCTGTAGTATGTTTAGCAAAAACTTTGTTTTTACTTATGAACACTGATAATATAATTCTGTACTAGTCTAGATTTGTAAATTGTAATTCTTTACCTTATTCATTTTTATAGTTTTATTGCAGTATAATTTACATAAAATAAGATTTCCTGTTTCAAATGTACAAATTAATGATAGTAAATTTACAGAATTGTGCAACCATCCCCACAATCCATGTTCAGAACATCTTCATCACCCCAAAAAGAAATTCCATACGATTAAGCAGTTACTCTCTTTTCCCCTTTTTTGCAATTCCTTCGAAACCACTAATCTATTTTTTATCTCTATTGTTCTTTTTATTGACAAAGAGTGTTTATTTTGATTATATATTCACCAGTTGATGGACAGTTGGGTTAACACTTTTTGGCTATTATTTATTGTGCTGTGATAAGCATTCATGTGCAAGTCTTTGTATGGACATATTTTTATTTCTCCTGAGTATATACATAGAAATGAAATTGCAGGGTCGTATGGTAAATTAACATTTAACCTTTTAATGGAAATGCCCAACTGTTTTCCAAAAAGGCTGTACCATTTTTATAACATTCTCATCAGCATTGTATGGCAGGTCCAATTTCTCCGCATCTTTATTAACAAGTATGTTTTTATTATAGCTCTTCTAGTGGGTGTGCAGATGAAGAGGAATTTCCCACTTAAATGGCTAACTTTGTAATTAGTTCTTTGTTCTGCTTCTGTAAATAGGCTTGCTGCACAGGCCAAAGATCTCGGGGTCAACTGAAAACTCACCCTCCCCTTTGGATGTTTTGCCTTAGTGCCTGTTTGAACAGATGTATTGCCTTAGTGCCTGTTTTTTAAAAACAAAACAAAAACAAAACTCATGCTCTGTAACTGCCCGTAGCCCATAGCAACTCTCGGGGGTCTGTAAATCAGCCCATGCTAACTGTAACAATGCGGTATAAAAGTGAAATTGCCCCTAAGCTCAGGGCCCAGATTTTCAGAGCACTAGTTCTTCTAGGACCACTGGCATAATAATCCTGAGTTCTCCAACCCTCCGAGTGCTGCTTGGTTTCTTGCTGATCTGAGTTTTGCAATTTTTCTGCAACATAGATATCTCATTGTGGCTTTAAATATGCATTTCCCCAATGACTAATGATGCTGAGCATTTTCTCATGCACTTATTGGCCATTTAAATGTCTTCTTTGGAAATATGTCTATTGAAATCTGTTGTCCTTTTTTAAATTGAGTTTTAGTCTTATTATTGAGTTGCAAGAATTCTTCATGTATTTGGAATATCAATCACTTAGTGGATATATAATTTGCAAATAATTTCTCCCAGTCTGTGTCTTTTTTACTTTCTTGAAGGTGTCTTCTGAAAAGTTTTTCATTTTGACAAAGTACAATTTATCATTTTTTCTTGTATTGTCTCTACTTTTGGTGCTGGATCTAAGAAATCTTTGCCAAATCCAGGATCACAAAGATTTATTCTTATGTTTTCTTAATCTGTTATAGTTTTAGCTTTAACATTTAGGTCTGTGATCCACTTTAAGTTAATTTTTGTATATGGGTTGCTCATTTTTCTTTATTTATTTTTCTCTTTGTTCGTCAGATTAAATGACCTTTACTGATCTTTACTCAAGTCTGCTCTTTCTTTCTTGTGCCAGTTAAAATCTATTTTTGAGTTCTGCTAGTGAAATTTTCATTTTGATTACTGTACTTTTCTACTCTGGAATTCCAATTTGGTTATTTTAAAAGTAACTTATAACTCTTAGCTGATATTCTTTATTTAATAAGACATTTTTCTTATACTGTCCTTTAACTATTTAAATATGGTTCCTTTTAGATCTTTGAAAATATTTAAAATATCTGCTCTGAATTATTTATTAAGTCCAACTCAAAGGCGACTTCTATTTCCTGCTTTTGTTCTGTGTATGGGTCATACTTTCCTCTTTTTTCGCATACCTCATATTTTTTGTTGTTGAAAACTAGACATTTTAAATAATATATTTTATCAACTTACAATTCTGATTCTTCCCTGCCTCTGGGGCTTGTTGTTGCTAGATTATTTAATGACTTGCTTTGACTGCTGTGAAATCTGTTTCTCCCTAAAAGGTGCAGCCTCTGATGTAACTGCTCTGTTGCTCTCCCCTTGTTTTTAATTTTAAGCCTGGCTACAGGTTACCCCTAGGTCAACAAAGTTTAGCGATAAATAAATGGTCAGAGATTGTTCTTAAACAAACCTTGAGGCAGTAAACCCTCTACCTTTTGTTATGCATCTGGGAGTGATTTTGGAAATGCTTTCAAAGTTTGGGAATTTACAAATCTACCCCATGTTTCAGCCAGGGACTATTGCCTGCTCCTGAGTATTTCTCCTGAGTTGCTTACTGAGCAAGTGCAAATTTTCACATGCACATAGCTTTCCTGACCAGAAGTCATGTGATCTTAGCAGGACCTTCTTTGGCTGTCTGTTTCCCCAACTTTCTGTTAAGTTTATGGCCACCCTGCTGTTTGTTTTGGCTCAGTGAGTACTACAGAAATTTAAGACCTCACTGGCTTATTGTAATGTGATCTTTTCACCATGAAAAATCAGCCCTCTCAGGCAGGGCTGCAGAGTTTCCAGTACTTTTGTCCTGCCATGACCTTATTTAGAACTTCCAAAACATCGTTCTGTGAATGATAGAAGATATCGGATCTCACGGCCTTTCATACCTGTCCACAATAGACCTTTTGCAACATGGGTCTGGGAAGGATGGCAGTTGTCAGAGCTGGAGCTAAGGAGAGAAGGATGGAAATAGTCTCCAGCTTAAATACCATAGATACCAACTATTCTTATCAAGAATCAGTAGATTTTCTTTAACAAATGCTTCTCAAGTTATTATGCCTTTTGATAAAATTTCAAATTTGGAATATTTTTTTTATTTGATGATTTTGTCCAGTTTTATTGCTGTTTTTTTTTTAGAGAGGGGATTTGTCAAGCTCTTCACACATTCATTTTGGAAAGCCCAAGCTTACTAATTCATATTTGTCTATATGTTCAGCGATGCAATGTATTGGTCAGTGGGAATTGCATAGGTGAACAAGATGGGCACAAACTGCAACTTTCATAGAGTTTACCATATAGTAGGGTTATGTAGAATCCAGGTTAAGAATGTACAAGTTTCCTCTTGTGTGCCTAGCCTACCAATTAATGAAGTTACCAAGCCCACTGTATTGAAACATCATGAGGCCAAGTTTGTTTTAAGAGGAAAAGAATGTCATGATTGGTCATCAATAGCTGCCATGAGTAAAAGAGAGACCGTTGATGATGATGTACTATGTTTTTGCCACGAAATCTTGAGATTTACTCTGATGCCAGATGCCATGGAGGTCACAGAATCTCTGGGAAGAATCCCTGGTACCAAAAGCAGTGAGTTTCCCACATGAGGTCTTTAAAATGCTGACTATCCAATGTTGCTCATCACAGGATATAAATAGCCCTAGAGATATATGAGTATAGACACCTAAACTAAATTGGGGGTAAAGGGGAAAGCCAGTGGAAGGCCACTTTTGTAAGCTGTTTCCTCCCACCTCCTCTGGTAATGACTTCTCCCAGTTATTATGGCATGCAGGTATTGTGATAAATGTGGTAAAGCTGAGGTGGGAGAAAACTATAAATGACTCTGTTGAAATAAGGCTTAAATTGTAACATTGTTAACCCTATGTTTCCAGATAATACAATAAGGATAATAAAATATTCTGAGATTCTGCTAACTAGAGCATTTTCTATTATTGTGCTATTCCAGTGACACCATACAAAGAACAGGGGATATGGGTATTGTTCCAAGATGGGTAGCATGATATATGTCTTTGTTGTAGTTTTTAGCATGGCTCTCCATGATCTGCTTACCTCTCCAAATTCAAGCCCATCCTCCTACCCATCCATTAACAATTTACACTCTGCAGACAGTGTAATGCTTGTACTCCCCCATCCTCAAGATTCCCAATGTACCTATTCTGTACTATTTCTCATGAGGTTCTTACTTCCTGGATGATTGTCCCCCTTTCCCTGACCCCTTCACCTGGATAATTCCCAATTCTCCCTTAGGACTCATGTCATGTCAATTCCTCCAGAAATTCTTCCTTTGCCATTGTATTTGCCGTCTTCTATTGAAACCCTGGTTACATTTGTTTGTATTTCCTACTAAAGTAGGTGTCAAATGTGTCAGGATCACCTCTATAACCCAGTGCACACAGTCTGGTCACATTATGTGTTCAATAAATATTTCCTCATTGTAGAGCATCAGTGAAATATAGCAGTCAAAGCAGCTACCATTTACTGAGCACTAAGTGGGGAAGAAGAACAGGGAAGGAGGGTTAAGAGTTAAGGGGATTTGGAATCAGACAGACTTGTGATTGAATTCTTATCTCCTTTACTTCAGAGCTCAAGAGCCCTGGCCAACTTCTTGTTTCCTCCTCTGTGTAGTGAATCAACTCACAAACTCTGGGATTGGGGACTTGGGTTCAATTCTCTTTTCCAATACCACCTTAGCTATGTGCCTTTGGAAATGGGACTGAAATTCTTTGTGTCTGAATTCCCTCATCTATGAAATGAGGATAATAATAGTTTCTCCTTTTTAGAACTGCTGTGAGGATAAAATTAGACAAGACCTATAAAACTCTTAGAACAATGCCTGGGACACATAAAGGGGAAAATAACAGACATCCTACAATTTGGCATCCTATAATTCTACGTCATTGACAGAAGGTCTCCCAAACCTGGTACATTTTCAGCTTCAGCAGAGAGAATAAAAGCAAAACAAGACTAAGTATTATTGACCCAAGTATATATTGAAAATCCCACTGGCTTTGAAGACAGATAAAATACAGTTGGATTCTTGTCCTGACTCTGACTCTTAAGTCACTCTGTTACTCCATCTTTTACACAAGGATAACAGTACCTGCTAGGAAGGATTTCTGGGAGACTTCAATGAGATAATTTATAACATTTGTAGCTTATAGTATCTGGCATATAATATTTGATCAACGGTGCTATTATGTATCATGGATCTTGTGTCCATATCACCTGGCATATAACCTGGCTCACAATGAACACTCTGTAAATGTGCTTAGAATTGAACTAGAAGAAAAAGTTCCAAATTGTGGCAAACTTCAGTCTGAAGAAAATCCCTCCAAAGCTGAAATTTTTTTGTTCTATCTAAAAATTAAATGCATTAACCCAGGAGACAGAGAATTTCACATTCCTAGAGTGTCCAAGCAGAAATGAATGAACACTCTATGAGCAATTGTAGAAGGGAAATTAAACAACATATGGATAGATGATTTCTAATGCATAAACTTGACATTCAATGTATAATGGATAGAGTATAAGAGTTGCAGAGAAGTTTATAGATAGAATAGTTTGAGGCTAGTTCTGTATAAAATCATCTTTCACTTGGTTTCAGCTTAGTGAATAACCCTTGAATGGTATAATATTGCTTCATGAGCTGAGACCGATAAAACCTTTAGAAGGTAGATTAAAGTTTTTTAGGAAACTATTGTTAGGATATAGGAAGAGTTCTGGAATAAAAATTAGGAAGCAAGAGTGTGATTTTTGGTGTGAAAACTGATCTTTAGGAGTTACCAGGCAGGTCTCTATGACTCATTGTCCTTAACTATAGAACAGGATTCAACTTTTATTTATTCTTAGAAGCTCTGAATTACATCTTGTGCTTCAAATAGCCCCTGGGCAGAGACATAGTAAATTAGGAAAACATTTTGTAGGACTGCAGTATTACCAAGGAGGAATTCCTTCTGAGCGTGAATTTCTTAGTTGAACAGATCTCTGTATGAATACAAAAAATCACTAGAGAGACAGCTGGATATTGCTGTGCCTCACTAATAAAACATACTCCTTGAACATTCTTGTCTTTTCTTCCTTGGAGTTTTGCCAGAAGAAGTGGGAGCAAGTGTTTGGGTAAACAAGTGGGGTTTGCATCTGCTTCTGTAAGGCCCTGTGGGATGTATTGGTTTTACTACATCTATAACATCACAAATAAACAGACTGTGATAAATGGGCTATGCAGGGCCAGCTCTCCTGAGCTGTCTTTGTTGATAGGGAGGCCAATGAGATTAAATAGGCAAAGATATTTGCACTGTAAAGAATGGGAGGTTTCTGGGACTTTAGACCTCACACAATCACGTTCCATACACCGTTCACAAACCAGCTGAAACTGAAACAAATTAATTGGATGAATAACAAAATGAATCAGATCCAGAAGGGATGATAGCAAAGGCAAATAAATGACCATCTTAGAGAAATATATTTTGTACTAGCATCATCTGGGAAGCCACAAATCCTAGAAAAAATCTAGCTTGGCTTTACCATGCTTCAGAATAGCCAAGGTAGCCTTTGGATTCATTGGGTTCACACTGTGTAACTGAAGACAAGTCACTGAATCTCCCTGAAGCTCAGTGCTGAATCTCCCTGAAGCTCAGTGCTGTAAAACATGGATATTCATAACCATGCTTGCGGGATTGTTGGGAAGAAAGCAGATATTAGCAAATTATCTTCCACATAGGACAAGAGCAACTTTTCTGGAATATGTTTTAAATTACATATCATTTTTCGATGTGCATGTATAAAACTTGTCCAACAGCAAAAGGAAATTATGATTTTCTTGGAAAACATATAATTTCTTTAAGATTACAGACTACAAGGAGTACAATTAGGTACCTGTGTAAGCAAAGTTGTAAGGCCTTGTCAGAGGAACATGATGCTTGGGAGCCACTGTGGGATGGGAGGGATATAAGAAAACGCCATCGTCACCAAGCATTTCCACCAACTCTTTAAGCAGGCTTTCTTTCATTGCCTTGAACTTTTTGTATTTCTCAGTGTCATATTTGAACTTTTCTTCCAATAAGGCCAATCCTACAGAATGATGACATATAACGAGTCAAGTTATGAAATTTCATTTTAAACCTTACTGTTATCTTTTCTTATTCGAGTAATATATATTCATGCTAGAATATTGAAAGAAAGTGATGAAAAAGCAACTTTATAACTTTGCCATACATGAGCATTATTGACCATTTAATGTTAACTCCCAGTCTTTTTTGATAATGCTGTATATAGAGTCCATAGCTTTTCCCATAGACTATTATATCATAATGATTTTTATGAGTCCATAATATTTTAATGGTAGGAATATACCATGGTTTTTTCTTTAACTAGCCCATGCTTGTTGGGCATATAAACTATTTCTAAAATTTAAATGCTGCAATAAATATCTTCATGCAAGTAATTCTTAGCAAAACTTTATAATAGAACTATATTTTAGAGGATTCTAATATATCTTCAAGTTTTAAATTATTTTATGAAAAGAATGAATTCATACACATATGCATATTTTACATATTAGTTAAGTATACATCATAAGTGCTTAATAAATCATACATATTTAGTATCTACATTAAATATGTATTTTAAAATAAAGTTTACTTGTTTTTAAAGGTTATCATTTCGATTATAAAAGGAACACATAAGTCTAATAGAAAATACGAAAAAAAAAGATTAAAGTAGAATGCAGAACTCACAAAAAACACAGTGCTCAGGGGAAATAACTGTAAATACATTAGTTAGTATACTTAGTTCATGTACTTTTCTATGCAAATATTATGTCTTATAGTAGGTCACACTGTATGTAAAATTTTCCACATTTTCCACTCATCATTTTAACATTCAGAAATATAGATATTATCAATACAGTTTCATAAACTTGGCCTTAAGAGCTTGCATACAATTTTATCCTATATACGAACCATAATCCACTACCTATTCTTTTGTCGTTAAACATTTATCATGCTTTCAATTTTTTGTTATTGTAAAACATGCCACAATGTACATCTCTATGAATAAAGTTTTTAATATGCTTTGAGATATTTTTATCTGAGGAGTCTAGTTCCTGATCAAAATCCCTATGTGTGATTTTTCAGGTGTGACCATCAACAATTACAAGAGATTTATCTGGCAAGACTCAAGGGGGCAAGCTGCCCTCCCCAAACCAGATATAGTACACAGCCAGTGCACTGAAACTCTATAGGGTGTGGCAGTCAAGGACCCAGGCTCCTCTGGCCTGTGCTGTTCTTGTGCTTATTTGTATTCCTAGCCAAGACACCTTCATTCCTAGATTGCTTTATCTGAGGCTTTTGGCAGAGGTCTTCTTCAAGTGTCTCTGTTGAGGCCTCTTCACGGGGAGAGGTAGAGGAAACCTTTAAGACACTTTCACCCACTCCGAATAGCTACTCAGGACTTTCCCACTCCTAGTTTCTCTCCCTCATCCTCTTCCTGACCTCGGGGTCCATAAAATTGCTAGGGCCTTTTTTTTTCAGGGCTGCTTAAACAGTGAGAAGATCTCAAATGCTGGTCCATTTGACCCTGGAGTGGTGCAAATTTTCGAAGAGGAAAATGGAAAATGGAGGAGTCAGTGTTTTCTCCAGTTTTAGCCTCTTGCTTATACTATCACTGTGACTAAAGACTTCACTGTTACTTTTATTTTGGTGTGTTGCTTTAACTGGCTATCTCAACACGTGACAACTAGACTAAGCCCCTGATATTACCTAGGATGATAAAATGTGATTTCTTTTGCATGATTTGAGCTGACATCTGACAACTCAAGAGCTGCTTAAAGACTTGATATCAGTATACCACTGTCCTTGAATTTTCATGGCTGTGCACAAGAAAGAGGACATCAGTGATTAGAACACTGTTAAGATTCTTTTGAAGAAAAGTAACTCTGACAAATATTTGGGAAATGAGTGCTTTGAGTGCTCAGTGTCCTTAAAAGTATTTTCCTCATGATATCAGAATATTATAGCCATTGAAAGCACAGTGTCTTTCTCCAACAACAAAATAATTTCTGATGATAGAGACCTCATTAGTAGAGCTGTGTAATAATAACAACAAAAATAGCTTCCATTTATTGAGTCTTTATGATGTTCTAAGATTTGTGGTTTCATCTTCATAAACTTGAAATTCCCAGTATGTGCATCGTTAGGTTGTATCTCACATGCTTTAGATTCATGTCATTTAAATGGCAAACAATGCAAGGAAGTACATATTTAATCTACTCGACTACATAGGTAATATATACTTTTATTAATCCCATTTTATAGATGAGAAAAACAAATCACTGACATTATAAGTAACTGCATGGAGGTTAAGCGAGCTGGTATCTAGAAAACTTAAGATTAGACCCTAGTTTGAAATAAGTTAAATCTCTATTAGTCTCAGTTTCTCACTATAAAAAGAGCATTACTTATACTATCAGAATCTCTTAAATGTTTAAAGGGATAGCAAAGGTGCAAAAAATCTAATATTTGGTACCTAGGTACTCAATGAGCATTTGTTTACAATTATAGCAATCCTCAACTCTGCAACAACTGTCCATAGTTACACTAATTTCTTTGGTGAGCAGCTTCAAATAAACTTACTTTACATGACCAGTAATTAACATTTTGATAGGTTAATTCACCAAAATATTCCTGAATGGGCCTATCCCTAAGATCAAATATATTGTCAAAAAATTTATATTTAGGTATTGAAATATAATAAATACATGCATGACACAAAGGAAGCATCCTAGGCATCTGAGTTTGTAAGATAAGCATTTGAAGAGCAATCCTTAACTTGGTAGCCATCTAACCTTTCTGAATTAAGGTTTCTAAACCTATAAAATGGGCATCAAAGTAGATACATTGCAAATTCATGGCATTAAAATGTACTGGACAGTATTTGGCACATAGTGAGATATCAGCATATGATGGATACTAGTTCATTTATTAATATATTTCAGCTTTCCTCAAAGCATTGTGAGTGGTTCTTATATTTTTGGTAGAATGTTCTTTCCTTCCCCAAAGACATCAAACCAGTCTTAGAGAAAACAAAATTTGCATACCAATGACAGGGATGGTGTGCACTGATAGGCCCAGGCACCATTTGATCAATTCCCACAGAGGGCTGATGGGCTTCCCATGGCTATTAAGCAGATCAATAAATTTAACAGCTTCCTAAGGTTAAAGAAAATAAATTAAATACAAATATTCTCTCAAAAAAGTATGGTTAAGACAAAAATACACACAGGGATATTCATAGCAGCACTTTAATAATAGCTGTATAATTACCAACTGATGAATGGATAAATAAAATATGTCAATACAACAGAATATTATGTAGCCATAAAAAGACATAAGTAACTGATAAAAGGTACAACATGGATTTAAAAAATTATGCTAAATGAAAGAAGCCAGTAACAAAACACCACACAATATATGATTCCATTTATTTGAAATGTCCAGAATAAGCAAACCAATCGATACAGAGTAGATTAGCTTTTGCTTAAGGTTGCGGGGAGGGAGTGATATTGATATTGGAAGGAGTTACTAATAATGAGTATGGGTCTCTTTTAGTGGTGAGGAAAATGTTCTCAAATTGACTGTAGTAATGGTTACACAATTCTGTAAATGTTTTAAAAATAATTTAATTGTATGCCTCATATGGTATGTAAATTATAACTCAACAACCCTCATAATAAAGCAGCTACATTGCCATAAACAAGTATGATTGAGAAAATGGTCACATCCTTTTATCACAGTAAAAGCTTCAAGTACCAATCATATAACTTACCTGTTCTTAAGAGATGAACCATTACTGAGCACCATAGTAGACTGCCTATGACTACCAACTCTGGGTCAGGCATCACCATTCAAGGTAAGAAGAGAACAGTTTTTTTGCCCTTTTGTCTTATTTCAGGTTTTTAATTTCAGGACCAATTTTAACAACAAGCATCTATGTTAAGGGTTTCTCCAAGTTACAAGAGAGTATCTCCTGCAAGTGAACTCAGAATAAATACCCTTTTTGTTACTAATCTCTAATTTAGTTTTGTCCTAATACTCTAATTCTAATTCCAAGGCGCTCATATAAAAGAAACAGGTTATTTGTTTCTTAAACACAAGTATAGTAACTGAAAATTTATTTTCCTTAAGGTATAAAGGGATCATAAGAGTTCTACCTTATTGAAAGGCTACTATATGTCATGTACTTTACAAGAAATCTTCTTAATCTTGAAAATAATTTTGTAACACAGGTATCAATAGCTTCATTTCACAGATGAGTAAAGTGAAGAATAGATAAGTAACTACCCAGCCAAAAAGAAAAGAAAGCAAGGAAGTGGCTTGCAATTTGAATTAGGGCCTGTCACACCCTAACACACACATTCCGAATGGAGAGCATATGTACAGAAGTCTTGAAAATAATTTTTAAAATTTCTTCATAGTGTCAATTTAACTTATTCCTCTTAAAGAACTCATATTTAAAATCCTCAAGAAGCCCAAAGAAAGCATAACTAAAGCATCTTTCATAAGTACCCACATCGGCTTCCAAACTTAGCAAACAACACATCGAAAATGCATTATAGAAACCAGGTAACTGTGTGCATGTCTCTAAAAAATCTCTGATGGAGGAGGCAAAGTGGGCTCTTGACAATTGGGGTTACTTAATCATTTTATGCTTTATTGAAACCTAAATCTGTTACCTAGGACACACCATAGTGAAATAAGCCTTACACTCCCGTACCCGTGTCCATGATGTACCCTCTGCATGGAACACTTTTTATAAGTTCTTTACCTGGTTAAGGCCTCCAAATTTTTCGAGTATTGGAAGATAGCAACTCTTCCACTAGGAAGTCTTCACTGACTTCCACATAGAGATGGGCCCACCTTCTGTGATCCTGCAACCATATATGCTTATATAGTGTAGCTCGTACCAAACTGTGTAATCTTTAATTATTTAACTCTGTCATCTATTTGCTTATGAATTTTATTTCTCCATATCTATAACATATGGCACACAATAAAGGCTCCATAAATACTTACAGAAGGAAAGAAGAAAGGAAGGAAAAAAGTGGACATACCTTTCCATCATGTCCCTTTGCTGACATCATTGTGATCCATAACTGAAAGGAATATTTCATTTGCTTCAGTTTAACATGTTGAACTGAGGCTCCTAGCACAGTTTCCAGGTGAGCCACCACCTTAGAAAATGAAGATATAAAAATAGAGAAACATGATTAGGGAAAAGAGATATGATTTGAGAGTGATAACAGCACGATGGTAGATGAGGAAGCTCCAGGCCCTTATTTCTCCGTGGAAACACCAACATACAGACTAAATTAGCTCTGTGAGACCTCTGTAAACCAGTTAAAAACTGAGGGTAGGGGAGAATGAGGAGTTTTTATTTAATGGGTATGAAGTTTTAGTTATGCAACATGGAAAGAATTCTGGAGGTGGATGGTGGTGATGTTTGTACAACAATATGAATGTACTTAATACCACTGAACTGTACACTTAAAATTGGTTAACAGAGTAAATTTTATGTGCATTTTGCCACAATAAAAAATAATTTAAAAATGTGTTGTGTGATTATAGTTTATGGGTAAGTAAAAATAATGATAGTAATGGTGCAAGGGACAGAAGGGAGGAATTGAGAGCAATCTGTTGTAAGGTACCCACACTTGCCATGTAGCGGTATAGTGTTATTTGAAAGTGGACTTAGAATAGTAGTAAATATATATTGTAAACTCCTAGAGCAACCATTATTTTTTATAAAGAAGTAAAATCACAATTGGTGTGCTAAGAGTTGAGAGAAAATGGAATCTTATCAAATGTTCACTTAAAACTAGAAAAGACCTAATAGGCCTTAACGTGTCTGCACCTAACAACAGAACATCACAATACATGAGAAAAAAACTGATAGAAGTATGAGAAATAGATGAATCCAGTATTACAGTTAGAGTGTTTAACATTCCTCTATCAGTAATTGACAGATCTCACAGACAGAAAATTGGTAAAGAAACAGTCAAACTGAACAGACCTATCAATTAACTGGATCTAAAATAATTTGTAGAACACTTCATCTAACAACAGCAAAATAAAGTCTTCTCAAACTCACACAGAATAATCACCAAGATAGAGTACATTCTGGAATATAAAACTGACCTCAACTAATTTAAAAGATTAGACTCATACAATGTATACACTGAGATTCTGAGACAACAGTGGAATTAAACTAGAAATCAGTAACAGAAAACTAGCTAAAAGAATCTCAGCATATTTAGTGATAAAACAACTTACTTCTAAATAACACAGGGATCAAAGAAGGCAGAAGGGAAATAAAAAAATATTTTTAAATGAAAATGAAAATGGAACTTATCAAAATTTATGGGATGCAATAAAGACAGTGCTTACATAGAAATTTACATTATTGAATGCATACACTAGAAAAGAGACAAATCTAAAATCAACTCTCTAAGCTTTCACCTTAGGGACTAGAGAAAGAAAAGCAAAATAAACTCCAAATAACCAAAAGAAAGCCTAAAAAATCAAGCAGATTTTAATTAAATTGAAAATAGGACAACCATAAGGAAAAGCGATAAAACAAAATACTGATTCTTTGAAAGATAAACAGAATGGATAAAGCTCTAGCCAGGCAAACTAGGATAAAAAGAGAGAAGCCACAAATTTCTAATATCAGAAATGAAAGAAGGAACATCATTACTGTGCACAACAAAAGAATAATAAAGGAAAGTTGTGAACAACACTATGCCCATGAATTTGACAATCTTGATGAAATAAGTCAATTCTTTAAAAGATTCATTCTACTAAAACTGACACAAGGAGAAATAGGTAACCTACATAAGCTTATAACTATGATGAAGCAGAATCAGTACTTAAGAACCTTACACAAAATAGTAAATTTGGCTCACATGGTTTTACTAGTGAATTCTACCAAACATTAAAGGATAGAGTTATGTGAGTTCCTACATTCTCTTGCAGAAAATACAAGTGGGTAGAATACTTTCTCACTCATTCTTCAAGGCCAGCATGACCCTAATACAAAAGCTAGACAGACATTATAGGAAAAGGAAAACTAAAACCAATAACTCTCATAAATATTGATACAAAAATCTTCAACAACATATTAGCAAATCCAACAATGTTATAAAATAAAATTATTTATATGCCATGAGCAAATGGGACTAATTATAGGTATGCAAGACTGTTTCAACATTTGAAAATCAATTAACATAATTCATCACATCAGCAGGCTTAAAAGGAAAATCATATGATCATATTAATAGATGAAGAAAAGAATCTGAGATAATTCAACACAGACTTACAATAAAAACACTTAAACAAACTAGGAATACAGTGGAACTTCCTCAACTTGATAAAGAACATCTACAAAAAAAAAAAAAACCCTACAGCTGGCAGTACATGAAATGAGAATCGTTTCCCAAAAGATCAAGGTCAAGGATGTCCCTCCTTAGCATTCTTATTCAACACTGTACTGGAAGTCACAGCTAATGCAACAAAACAAGGAAAGGAAATAAAATGTACAAAAGTTGGTAAGGAACAAAACTTTTTTTTTCACATATTACATAATTGTTTGCATAGAAAATCCCAAAAGTATTGAAAAAAAATGGAATTAATAGGAAATCACAACAAAGGTACAGGATATAGGGCTAATATGAAAAAGTCAATTGCTTTCCTAAATACCAGCGATTTGAAATTACACCCAAAACTGGCAGAATCTCCACAATGATTCCCTGACCTATAGAGGAAGGACTATTATGGTGGAAAAGGCCGGTAAAAGCCATGGGAACTACCTTTATCTAGGACAACAGTAAAACAAAAGCAATATCACATTCCTGGAGACATTGAAGAGATTGGTTCTACCATCAAGGAATTAAAGGATCCCCACTGCATGCTCATTCAACTCACCTACTTGGCCTTTGTAGAAAACAGGGATCTTGGAGAATGAGAGTAAAGTATCATAAACTTAAGCAGGTGGTGACTTCAAACACAGCTGCTATATTAGATGTGATTTCATTGTTTGAGCAAATTAACACATCCCCTGCTTCCTGGTATGCAACTATTGATTTGACAAATGCTTTCTTTTTCTCTATACCTGTTAGTAAAGGCCACCAAAAGCAATTCCTTTCAGCTGGCAAAACGAGTAATATACCTTCACTATCCTACCATAGGGGTATTTAATTCTCCAGCCTTTTGGTGTAATTTGGTTTGCAGGGATTTTGGTTGTCTTTCTCTTCCACAAGATACCACACTTACATTATTATAACGGTCTTGTGTTCACGGGACTTAGTGAGCAATAAGTAGCAACTATTCTAGATTTCTTGAAAAGATATTTGCATATCTAATGGTGAGAAATGAATAAAAAATTCAGTGCCATTCCATTTCATTGAAATGTATAGCTGTCCATTGGTGTGAGTATGTCCTGATAGCTCTTCTAAGGTGAAGGATAAGTTGTTTCATCTGTCTCATCCCAAAATCAAAAAAGAGGTACAATATCTGGAGGTCCTTTATGAATTAGGGGGTAAAGTATTCCTCATTCGGGTGTGATACTCTAGCCCATTTACTAAGTAACCTAGTTTTGAGTAGGGCCCAGAAAAAGGCTGTAAAACTGGTCCAGGCTGCTGTGCAAACTTCTCTGCCACTTGGGCCACATGATCCAGCAGATTCAATTTTGCTTGAAGTGTCAGTGGCAAATAGAGGAGTTCTTTGGAGCCTTAGGCTAGCCCCCATAGGTGAATCACAGTTTATGCCTTTAGGATTTAGGAGCAAAGAACTGCCATCCTCTGGAGATGTCTACTCTCCTTTTAAGTAACTGCTTTTGCCTTACAACTGGTCCCTAGTGGAGACTAAATGCTTAAACATGGGCCACCAAATTACCATGTGACTTGAGCTGACCATCATGAACTGAGTGTTGTTTGGCCCACCAATCCATAAAGATAGGCATGCACAGCAACACTACATCATGAAATGGAATCACTTATATGAGATCAGGCTGAAGAAGGCCCTAAAGGCACAAATAAATTACATGAAGAAATGGCTTAATATGCTTATAGTCTCCATTCCTGTTACACTACCCTTTCAATCTGAGCTTTCACATATGGCCTCAAAGAGAGTTCGCTGGCATCAGTTGACAGAGGAAGAAAAAAATTACACCTGTTTTACACATAGTTCTGTGTGACATGCAGGCACTACCCAAAAGTGGACAGCTGCAGCACTGTAGCCCTCTTCTGGGACATTTCTAAAGGACAGTGGTGAAAGGAGATCCTCCCCATGAGCAGAATTTTAAATAGTGCTCTTCAATATTCACTTTGCATGAAATAAAAAATGTCCACATTTTCCTACTTTTCCCTCATATATAGATTCATGGGCTATGGCCAATGTGTTGTCTGGCTGTCAGGGACTGGGATGCAACATGATTGAGAAATTCAAGGCAAGAGGTACGGGGAAGAGATTTGTGTATAAATGTCTCTGATTGGGTGAAAAACCTACAGATATTTGTGTTTCATATAAATGCTCACCAAAGAGTGACCTAGGCAGGGGAAGATTTTAATAAGTGGATAAAATGACTTGTTCTGTTGATATTAGTCTCTTTCCGCAGCCATCTGTCACTGCCCAATAGATTCTTGCACAGAGTGGTTATGGTGGCAGAGATGGATGTTATACATGGGCTCACTACATGGACTTCCACTCACCAAGGTTGACCTCCATACCACCACTGCTGAGTGCCTAATCTGTCAGCAGCATAGAACACCACTAAATCCCAAATATAGACCATTTTCTAGGGTAATCAGCCAGGTACTTGATGGAAGGTAGATTACATTGGACCACTTCTATCATGGAAGGGGCAGCCTTTTGTTCTTACTGGAATACTTAACCTTGATATAATTTTGCCTTCCCTGAACACAATTTGTCTGCCAAAACTACCATCCATGGACTGACAGAGTGTCTTACCCACCGTTGTGTTATTCCACACAAGATTGCTTCTGATCAAGAAACTCATATAGCAAATGAAGTAAAACCAATGGTTCCACACGCATGGAAATCACTGGTCTTACCATGTTACCACTGCAATGAACTGAAATTTGACCCCTCAAAATTCATATGTTGAATCTCTAATGACCAATATGACTGTATCTGGATATAGGATCTTTCAGAAATAATTAAGGTTCCATGAAGTCATAAGAGTGGGGTCAAATCCAATAGGACTGCGGCCTTATAAGAAGTTGTGTGTGTCTGTGTGTGTGTGTGTGTGTGTGTGTGTGTGTGTGTGTGTGTGTGTGTGAGATAGAGATAAAGGGTGAGAAAAAGAGACAGAGACAGAGACAGAGACAGACAGACAGACAGGCAGGTCGGTCTCCACCATGTGAGCAAACTGTGAGAAGGCAGCTGTCTATAAGCCAGGAAGAAAGCCCTCAGCAAAAGCTGACCATGCTGGTACCATGATCTTGGACTTCTAGCCTCCAGAATTATAAAAAAGTAAATTTCTGTTGTTTAAGCCACCCAATCTATGGTATTTTGTTATGGCAGCCTGAGTTGTATAATACACTCACCATCCTGAAGCAATTAGTAGAACAGTGGAGTTGCCTTTCAAAGACTCAGTTGCATTGCTAGGCAGCTAGCAATACACTGAACGACTGTGGTAAGGTTTCTAGGAGTCTGTATATGCTCTGAATCAGAGTCCAATATATGGTGCTGTTTCTTCCAAGCCAAGATTCACGGGTACAGTAATCAAAGGGTGGAAAGGAGAGTGGAGCCCTTATTATTACTCCTAGTGATCGACTAGCACAATTTTTATTTCATGTCCCATGACCTTATTCTCTGCTGGCTTAAAGGTCTTAGTTTCAAAGGTCACCTCACCAGGTAAAGAACCACGACAAGTCGAGGTGCTTGCTGAAGGCAAAGGAAATACAAAATGAGTAGTGGAAGAACGTAGTTATAAATACCAGCTACAACCATGTGACTACAGAAATGAGGACTGTAATTGCCCTGAATATTTCCTCATTTTTTATAAATACGTGTGTGTATTTCATTAAGGAAATATCTTTTTCTCTCCCCTCTCTTATACCTTATCATATAACATAAGATATATTGACTTTACATCATAGTATTTAGGTTATTAATTTTGCATCACACTACTTAAGTTACAAGATATCAAGGAGAAGCGTCAATATCGCCCATGAACTTTACATCTTCTTCTGGGGAAATTATGTTCTTGTTGTATGCAGAACATTTGTATCATGCTGTGTGGAAGTACGACCTCGTTATCCCATTTGTTTGGAGATTAAATATGGTTTAAGGAGATGTGTGTAGGTGACAAGGGTTCTACTTATAATGGTTAAGCTATGTGAAATAAGCCAGACCCAGAAAGATAAACACTGCATGATCTCATTTATATGTGGAATCTAAAATACTCTAACTCATAAAAGCAGAGTAAAATGGTACTTGACAGGGATAGAGGAAATGGAGAGATGTTGGTCAGAGGGTACAAGGTTTCAGTTTTGCAGGATAAGTAAGTCCTGGAGAGCTAATGTACAACATGGTGATTATAGTTAATAATACTATATAGTGTACTTGAAATTTGATAAGAGAGTTTGATTTTAAGTGTTCTCATCACACAGAAGTCTGCTTCTATGGAGGACTCTAATATAGCCACTCTGAAAGACAGTTCGCAGTCAGCAGTTTTTCACAAAGCTAAATATATTGTTCTCCTTGGTATTTACCTAGTAGAATAGAAAACTTATATCTATACACAAAGCTACACACAAATGTTTATAGTAGCTTTGTTCATTTATGGCAATACCTGGAAGTAATCAAGATGTCCTTCACTAGGTGAATGGATAAACCAATGGTGATACATCTCTATAATGAAATATCACTCAGCAATAAAAGAACATGAACTATCAAGCCACAAAAAGACATGTAGGGACCTTAAATGTACATTTATAAATGACAGAAGCCAATCTGAAAAGGGTATATACTGCGTGATCCTAACTATATACCACTCTTTAAAAGGCAAAACTATAGAGACAACAAAAAATCAGTGGTTTCCAGAGGGAGTGTAGAGAGTATACAGAGTACAGAAATAAATATGTGAAGGATAGAGGATTTTTAGAGTAATGAAACTATTATGTATGATACTGTAATGGTGGATACATGATATTATGCATTTGTTAAAATCTATAGAAACTGTACAACAAAGGGGGAACATTAATATCAACTAAGGACTTTAGTTAATAATAAATATCCATTCATCAGTTGTGACAAATGTAGCAAACTTATATAATATATTAATAATAGAGGAATCTGTATGCAGAAAAGGGGGGATAAATGTAAACACCTTGTACTACCTGCTCAATTTTTCTGTAAATGTGTAACTGTTCTAAAAAGAAGTCTTAATAAAAAAATTAACCACAGAAGGTCTTGGCTTCCTTTCTTGCAGAAAATGAGTAATAATAATACCTGCCTCTCAGTACTTTTACAAAATAAAGAAATGATACAAGACATGAGCCATAAAATATTCTCAGCAACGTTAGATGCTCTAACATTTTTCTTTTCCTTCTGAATCTAGGAAGAATTAAACACCAACATCAGTTAGCAGCTATTGAGTTTTGCTATAAAATCAAAACAACTCTCTCTTTTTATTGAACCTGGAAATGACTAAAGTTCGAATTGCGTAATAATGTTATTAATCTTAGGGAAATATATAAATAAAATATGGTATTTCAAAACTCTAGAATACCAAACACTCGTTTATTCTGGCAGAAGATTAACATCATTTTCTCAACTTCTATAGAAAAATAACAAATTTGATTTTAGTTGTTATGAAATATGGCCTCCCCATCCCCCAGAATGTTATTTTTCTGGCAACAGCTTGGGAAAGGTGAAGGCGGCACATATCCTTTTTGTATATACAGAAATTGTTACATATACAATGTTATCTCAATCATATAAAATTTACATCTACACATAGGCATAGAATGACTGGACAGAAATATGACAAAATAGTAACAGCATTACCTCTGAGCGATTTCTTTATTCAATTTATTATACTTTGAAAAATCTTCTTTTTCATTATTAAAAAAAACAAATAAAATATCAAAAATAACTATGAAAATCATGCCAAAAATTACTTAGTACAACTACTGTGATCACCTTAATTCTGTAGGCTGACATAGAAATACCTGGCAGACAGTAAAGGAAAAAAGTGAGAATGGCATCTCTTTACCTAAATATGAATTCCATTGAAGAAGTTCTATTTATAATTACCTTTTTCTGAGCCATAATGAGTTCTTGGTCCACTCTGGACATTAACAATGAGCCACCATCATGTTCCATCCAGTAAAATTTCAAGTCCTTTAAATTTACCTTTTCATCTAGTTTTAACCTGTCGAGGAATAAAAAGAAACTGACATCAACAAATTACTTATATATGCTCGCTAGTTCAATGCTAACAATTGAGCTTCTGCACTAGTGGAAGTTCCCACCCCGCCCTGCCCCCTCTCCAGAACTGTGTGCCAGAAATAATGATAACCCTTTAGAACTTAGATGTTCATTTAAGAATATTACTCTGCCTACAAGAGAGAACAGTTTGGAATGAGTCATATTTGAAGATGGAGTGACAAGTCAGAAGACTCTGGTAATAGTCCAGATAAGAAATCAGTGTAGTTGGTATGAGAAGCTAACCATGGTGATAGATAGAAATGTAATGATGTAGGAAATAATTAGAAGCTAATCTTCATTGGAGATCGCCTAGACATAAGGAGTCATAGAGATGGGAATTAGGCTTTTAATGACAGGGTTGATCATGGTGCAGTCACTGGAACTGAGGAAGAAAAGAAGTAGCAAATCAGGTTTGTGGGGCTGGGAAAAAGAATGAAATCGTTTGTGGTCATGTTGAGTTTCAAGTCCCTGAGATGCCCAGTATGCCAGTTAATACATCATTTTGAAGTTTAGATGAGAAGAGGAAACTGGAGATACAGATTTGTGAATCCTGTATGTTTGGAAGGTAATTGAAGGAGCAGGTGTAAATGGAGTCATCCTGGGAGGTTGGAAAAAGAGAGAAGGATGAAATGAGTCAAGACTTCCTAGAATACCAATATTTAAAGGATGAACAGGAGAAGAGTCACCAAGGGAGATAAAAAGAGAAAGGCATTGATATATAAAGGAGCTATATCAAAAGAGTGTGAATTACAAAATCCAAAGGTAGAGATTGTTTTAAGAAGAAAGGAATAGTCAAATGTGTTGCCAGCTATAATGGAGTCATATAAGTATTGAAAAGTAGTTATTAACATTAGCATAAAAGAGAAAAAGATCAGAGCAGAGACCTTAACAAAACTTCATTATCATTAAACATGCCTAAACTACATACTGATTTCCAACTTTCCACCACTGAAATTTTTTTGCCAAGTTCTCTGATCTTTTTTCTTTTTTTATTTTACATATAGTTACATATATGGTGTGTGTGTGTGTGTGTATAGATATATTAAGTTAAAATCATAGGAAAGTGAGACAAACAATGGAACAAAGATCTGAGAGAGTATCAGAGCATGAGATCCAAAACATATTTCAAAGTCTTTATATACCAAAGCAAAAAGGAAAACATTTTTTCCCCTCTTAAAAGAGAAAAGAGAAATTAATGTCTGGGGAACTAGTAAAGTTTGATGTATGGAACTGAAGAAAATTCCACAGATTGTATTTTCTTCGTGAGGTAGGATGTGGGATCATTTGCTGAATGTAAAAGCTAGATGAAGAAATCACAGTTTTACTGGAAATAAAAACATTGTGAAATTGCTGTGGTGGAAAATGTAATAAAGAGCTATCTAGGGAAACAGATTTCTAGGCAGTATCAATGTCCCAGGTAAGACTGAAAAACATGTGTGATGACAGATGGCAGAAGTACCAGAAAGCCTTAAAGTGAGATACATCTATATATTCAAATTGCGAAACGAACAACAAAAATCCACAGCTTTCATCCAAAATAGGCATGTGAAAAATATTTTTACAAACTACCTTCCCAGTTTGTGAAGCATGATATCCACATATACAAAAACTCTCTCATTAAAAAACAAACAAAAAACTCTAATAATTCTTTGATCACTGGAAGTTTACTTCCATGTCTCTAATAAACAAAGGGAGAATAAATGTCTGGACAGGAAAGAGAGGAAAAGAAATGAACATACTTTTTGATCCCAGGTCCTGCCATGACCCTCAGCATGGGGACCAGGTCTTCAGCATAGCGGCACATTGGACCAGTGCATAGAAACAGCTCCTGGACTCCCCTGGCCATAGGAAACTGACCCTGGTTGGAGACCACACCTGAAAGGTTAGACACTCAGGTTAGCTGTCCAAAATAAGACATGATCCCTGAAGGTTGTACTGCACCATCATGTTTCATCTATCTTAAACCTAGAGGGTAGAACCTCCAGTCCAATATTTAATAGAAACAGCAAAAGTAGACATATTTTTCTTGTTCCTAACATTAGGAGGAAAGTTTTCAGTTTTCATCAAGTATGATGGTAGCGATGGGTGTTTTCATATATGCCCTCTTTTTTAACACACAAATATTTAATAGTGTTTATTATGTGCTAGATGCTCTCCTAGGAGCTTCACAAACTTTAACTCTATTAATTCTCATAACAACCTGATGAAGTAGGTATTTTGGCTATACCCATTTTATAGATGAGACAACTGAGGCAGAGATAAAGTATCTTTTTTAAGATTACATATCTATTAAGTGACAGAATAATGGGAGTCTTACTGTTAAAAGCAAACGTATAGTAAGGGTAGAGGTTCAAACAACTATAAAGTTAGTATGAAAGTTAAAAGACAAAAGTTCTAAAATCATATATAGCAACAATAGTTAATTAAGAGATGCACATACACAAACACACACCCAAAGATGTAGAATATGACTTCAAAACATAAAATGTGGGGGGAGTATATATGTAGTGCTTTTAGAACGTGTTCAAACTTAAGCAACCATCAGCTTAAAATAGATTGCTATATACATAGGTTGATATACATAAATCTCTTGTAACCACAAACCAAAAAAATAGATACACAAAAAATAAAGAGAAAGGAATCCAAACATACCACTAAAGAAATTCATCAAAACCCAGAGGAAGACAGCAAAGAAAAGAACAGAGAAGAACTGTAAAAACAAACAGAAAACATTTAATAAAATGGCAATGAGTTTAAATGTATCAATGATTACTTTAAATGTAAATGGAATAAATGCACAAATCAAAAAGAAATAGGGTAGCTAAATGGATAAGAAAGAACACCCATATATATACCGCCTACAAGAGACTCACTGCAGATCTAAAGACACATGTAGAGTGAAAGGATGAAATATGCAAATTCCATGCAAAAGGAATTGAAAAGAAAGCTGGAGTAGCAATACTTATATCAGACAAAATAGACTTTAAAACAATGTAAGTAACAAGAGACAAAGAAGGGTATTATATAATGATAATGAGATCAATCCAACAAGAGGATATAACACTTGAAAACATCTATGCAACCAACATAGGAGCACCTAAGTACATTAAAGAAATATTAACTGACATAAAGAAAGACTGACAGTATTACAAAAATAGTAGGGAAATTTAACACCCAACTTAAATCAATTAATAGCTTCATCCAAACAAAAAATTAATAAGAAAACATTAGTCTTAAATGAAAAAGTATACCATATACTTAATAGATATATTCAGAATATTCCACCCTCAAACAGAATACATATTCCTTTTAAATGCAATAGAACATTCTCCAGGATAGATCACATGTTAGGCCAAAAAACAAGTCTCAATAAATTCAAGGAGATAGAAATTCTGTCAAACATAATTTCCTACCACAATGGTATGAAACCAGAAGTTACCTACAAGAAGAAAATTAGAAAAATTACAAAAGTGTTGAAGCTAAACAACATGTTATTAAATAATTAGGTCCATGAAGAAATCAAAGGAGAAATTAAAAATACCTCCAACAAATGAAAATTAAACACGTTTTTCTAAAATCTGTGGGATGCAGCAAAAGCAGTTCTAAGAGGGAAATTTGTACTGATACAGGTGTACCTCAAAAACAAAACAAAACAAAACAAAACAAAAAATCTCACATAAACAATCTAAACTGACACCTAGAGGAACTAGAAAAAGAAGAATGAACAAACCCCAAAGTTAGTAGAAGGAAGGAAATAATCAAGATCACAGGAGAAATAAATAATATAGGGACTATAAAGTGAATAAAAAAAACAAACAATGAAACCAAGAGCAGGATTAATAAGATAAACAAAATTGATAACTCTTTAGCAAGAAGAAAAAAGAGGGCCCAAATAAAATCAGAAATGAAAAATAAGTTATAATCAATAACAAATAACTACAAAAGATTATAAGAGAATACTATGAACGATTATAAGCCAACAAATTAGACAACCTAGAAGAAATGAATAAATTCCTAGAAACATACATCTTCCAAAACTGAATGAAGACAAAACAGCAAATCTGAACAAATTACCAATAACAAAATTTTATTAATAATTCAAAAGTCTCAAAAAACAAAAGTCCAAGGCCAGAGGGATTAACAGGCAAATTCTACCAAACATCTGGAGATTCCTCAAAAAATTAAGAATAGAATTACCATATGATCCAGAAATCCCTCTTTTAGGTATGTACCCCAAAACTCTGAAAACATTTATCTATAAAGATATATGCACTAACTGCAGCATTATTCACAGTGGCCAAGACATGGAAACAACTGATGTGTCCTTTGACAGATGACTAGATAAAGAAGCTGTGATACATATGTACAATGGAATATTACTCAGCATAAGAAAAGATGAAATACTGCCATTTGTAACAACATGGATGGACCTTGAGAGGATCATGCTAAGTCAGACTGAAAAAGTCAGACTGAAAAAGTTGAGAACCATATGAACCATATGATTTCACTCATATGTGGAATATAAAGCTGAAAGCAACAAACAAGACAAACAAATAAAAACTCATAGACACAGATAACAGTTTAGTGGTTACTGGAGAGAAAGGGAGCGGGGAAGAGAAGGTAAAGAGGGTTAAATATATGGTGATGGAAAAAAATTCAACGGGTGGCGAACACACAACACAATATACATATGGTATAGTATTGCATTGTACACTTTAAACCAATATAATTTTGTTAACCAATATCACTCCAATAGATTTAATGAAATAAAAATAAAAATAAAGAAGAATTAATACCTATACTGTTCAAGCTATTCCAAAAAAATTGAAAGGGGAACCTTTTCTTTTTTTTTCTTTTCTAAGTTTTATAAAAATTTATTTTAGCCAAAATTTTGAGGATATATCTGGAAGCAAGATCTCAATGGATTGAGAAAATGCCCCAGAGAATGGCAGTTTTTCAGGTTATTTATACATTAGAATCAAAGGAGAAGACATAAGGGGGGGGTCACATGAACTCCACTGGTGGTAGATTAAGGAGGTGGGAGAAAGCAAATCAGGAGAAATCAGTAGGACTGGATAAAAAGCAAAATGGAGAAATACAAACTTTGATGTATTTACATTGATGGGTTCAAGATAGTTAATAATTAATATTTATAGTACATAGAGATGGTATGCCAGGAATAAGAGAGCAATGAGGGGTTCTCTGGTCTCATGCTCTGGTAGTCTTGTGCTCTAGTGCATGTGGTTATGACTTTGAGGGATGCGGAAAACAAAATTACTCTGATATTTCAAAGGTATGTTATCCTAGATGCATAAGCACAATGGACAGGGCTCATTTAAGGTAAAGACTGATCTTTACTAAGAAAGCTTTGGCCTGGGATGTGACTACCTGTCATGGTCTGCCCAGTTAGGAATTTTAATGTTTAGACCATTCTGTGTGGTTACTTCTGCTCACTGAGTTTGTGAGACCTGCCATCCAGATACCCACTGAGCTTGTCAGGTTTAGTATATGGCCCCCTTTTTTCTTTGTTCACAGATAAAAAAAAATCAGCATACAGAAATCTGTTGCATTTCTTTTTATTTTTATTTTAATTAAGTTTATTGGGGTAACATTGGTTAAACCATTTATATAATTTTCAGGTGTACATTACAATTTGACATCTGTATATTCTATTGTATGTTTACCACCCAACGTCCAGTTTCTTTCAGCTACCATATATTTCATCCCCTTTACAAACTTCACCCTCCCTCTACCCAATTATAGTAAGCCCTTTTACCCCGTCTACCTCACCCCTCCTCCCCGACCCCCTACCGTTTGGTAACCACTAGTCCATTGTCCATGTCCTTGCGGGTCTGTTTCTT